GAGTGCGCGTCTGACAATGCCCCGACTATTCTTTCCCTGGGTGACCCTTGCCCTCCAAGCTGTCTCCCTGCCCCCCTCCTCTGCCCCGTGGATGTGTTTTTGTCGCCGCGCCGCGGCCGCGACTTAACGTAACGCGTGTCGCAACGGGGGCGCCCCTCTCCAGCCGGGCGTGCGCGCGAGCACGTGAGGACCCCGACGAGAAAGAAAATAAAAAAGGCGTCCGCCGGGACTCGAACCCGCCGCCGCGTTAGTGTTGGGTCCCTCGGTGAGTACCGGCCCGGGAGTGAAAGGGGAGCTGCCCAAGAACTCGCTGCCCTGACTGACGCGCTCCTTATTCTGCCTTTCCCCCAGGTCCGCGATGCAACTCCGGAGGACGGTGATGACGCTGGCGGGCGCGGCGCTGCTCGCCCTGCTGTTCGTCGACGTGGAGGTGCAGGCCACGCCCGCGCCCCAGGAGTCGTCCTTCGAGCTGCCCGTACAGCTCATTGGCTTCCCCGTCATCATCCTGGCTGTGCGTGTCTCCAACTTCGTCAAGAAGCTTGCCTACTCGCTCAACCCCGGTAAGTAAGGGCATGACGCCTGACGCCTACCAGCGCAACGAAGTTTAGAGCTTTTCTTTCCATACGTACGACGCGTATGCACCATTCTTATTTGTAGCTCGCCATAACGGTTTGAGTTGCAGTAGTCAAACTCGCCCAAACGACGCCTGTATGCGATACGGTATAACTAAGGCTTAAGGGCCATCTTCCCCTCATCTCTCTATGGATCTCACAATATTTTTCTCAAGACCACCAGATTCTGCTCCAAGCCATGAGCGCTAGCTGCCTGTTCTCTCGGCTCCGCCGTGCCTGGGTACGTTTCCCATGCATCTGGAGCTCGGGCCGCTCGTTCGTGTTCGTACGTCGCGATGAAAGTGACCAGGCGTGCGCCCGGATCGCTCGTGGCGCTGCACGCCCGCGTTACTTTCCTCCGGACCTTAGACCCCATGGGCTCGTCGCATGCGAGAGGAAAGCATGCGAGCTGAGCAGTCTCGGGGTTACGGAAACGGAAGAGAGGAGGGAAAAAAGTGTGTGCAAACGGAAAAGAAATCGATGCGAGGACATGAGAACGACAAAAGAGAGTCTGGTGTGATTAATAAACGGTTGTGACGCAACGTCATTGCCCCCGAGAGAATAGGTTTAAGATCTAAATCGCCGTCACAGTGATCGGCCTGTTCGGCGTCGCCGCCGTGCACGTCCGGAGCGCTGAGTGCGGCAACACCTCGCCGAGCCCGAGCCAGCCAGCAGCGCCCGGCAGTCTGCATATGGGCGCTGCTGGCACCTGGCGCTGCTGTTGCGGCCATGATTGATTAATCGTCGTTTCTGCCCCCCATTCCGCCAGGCACCTACCGCTCCCGCACCCGCCGCGGCCTCGAGCCGCCCGCCCTGGACCCCGCCGCCGTGGAGAAGCGCCTCGTGCAGGAGATGGGCGAGTCCGTGTGCGTCTACGAGCACGTGTGCCGGGAGTACGCGGAGCGTGCCGGCCGCCTGGGCGACAACCACGCGCTGGACTGGCCCAAACTCATCAGGTAAGAACGACTGACGGGCAAACTTCTTGAAGATCCTGTCCCGTGGGTATTTGTCGAGCCCGAGATATTGAAGGGGGACTAGAAAGTTCAAAGGAACATACAACTCCGAGTAAAAACATATCAAAATAACAATGGAAAAGGTCAAAAATCGATTTAGTTTTCAAAACCAGCTCTAACGGCACGCCGCTGAGCGCGCCTGGCAGTTAGGCAAAAAGTCCGTCCCGCCGCACAGGCGTGCGCAACGGGTAGCCTACCCCCGACCCCTGACTACTTGACACTCAAGATTTTCACGGCAAATACCATTTTAAATGGTCGCTCATGCATTGGCCCAGCCCAGCGCTCCGACCCTTTGCTTTCGTCATCCTCAGGATGTTTTCATAGGAGCAACAGTAGAGTATAGTGAGAAGTGGGAGGGGAAGGGAGGGTGACTCATCGGGCCGCCCGCCGCCCCCTGCAGCCACAGGTGCATGCCCCGCTCGGCCAGCGGCTGCCGACAAGGAAATAATACCGTACCGTACGACAACACCGAAAGACCGAATACTCTCTCCTTCTCCCCTTGCACGTGTGCCAAGGACTAACTTGCTAATCGTTTTCTCCCCAGCAACTACAACCAGTCGCCGGAGAGCAGGAAACAGTTCTACCTGCTGAGCGTGTTCCTGGGCGACATTGTGGCCTCGCCCCGCCTCTGTCACCAGCTCGCCAAGCGCGGGCGCGCCTGCAAGTGAGGCGGCCGCGAGCTCCTCAAGAGCCACAATGTGATACGTCCCCGCAGCGCCGCCGGCCGGGCCCAACAAGCCCAACCTCCGGGCCCAACCCCAGGACCCCACCCGTGGGGCCCCAACCCCGCACGGCTCTCGCGGGGCCGCCGGCGAGCGGCGCGGACGCCCTGGAGGCCAACGGGATGGAACCAAACAATCAAAACGACCGCGGCGAAGAGGGTCGGCGGAGTTCGAAGACGCGCGGACCGCGGCTGCGGTGTCGGCCTGCATCGACCCGCTCTCCCCCGACCCTCGTTGGACCAAAGAGAGAGAGAGAGAGAGAGAGACCGGAGGTCAGTGTCGTGGCTGACACGCGCCTCCGTCCTGGACCGCCTCCTATGTACCTTTGCCCGTATTAGACGAAACTTAGGAAGAAACTGCCAGCCTTAGATTGTAAGAACGTTGATGTACAAACCATGTAAAAGGTCTCGACTGAATCAGTCGTCCGGTGAAGACCCTGCCCGCCCCGTGGCGGCGGGCCCGCAGCCTGCTCTATGGAGTCGCTATACCCCGCGCCCCGGTGCCCGGGGTAGAGCCGCACAGCGCCGGCCTGCGAGCCAGCCACGCCCAGTCATTTACTTGTCGCACCTCTTTAATAAACTGTTAACGTTACGGAAGCCCGTGTTGTCTCTTTGCAGCGCCAGCAGCGCCCCCTCCACCACCTCCGGCGCGGAGACCCTCACGGTGGGCAGGCCGGCGCGCCCCGCCGCGCGCTGGGCTGCCTACCTGCACGGGGTGGGCCGGCAAGCCGCGCGAGGCGGGCGCACGGCGGCCGAGGAGGGGGGCTCGGCGGCGGCGTGTTGCCCGACAAACAACCCAACCACAACAAGGAGCAATGAAAAAGTCAGCAGGAGAAAATTTGTGCTCGCGTGTCGAGCTGCCCTCTTCTGCCAATTGACTACATCATTTCTCTTTACTTTTCCATCCGTCTTCGCTCGTTCTCCCGGGGGACTTTGTGTGTTTAAGTGTAATTCAGAGCGATTGCCGGTCGGGGCGAGGGGGCGCGGGCCTTGTAGGTGACACGCCGCACCAGAGCCGACTGTTAGTAAGTACTACTAGTTAGTACTACCTGTTGAAAACGCCCAGAAAAATGAGAAGAGGCAGTTGTCAGTCGGGCATGGCCATAAAAGTAAATGACAAGTAAACAGTCATTGGGTGGGACCGGAGCACTTTTTGCCAAATCAGTGGCTGATAAAGCAGAGCAGATACGCTTCGTGTGAGAATTCAAATGAAGGTCGACCTCGTTTTCAAGGCAACGTATAATAGTCAGCCTACATCATGATTGCATACATATTTTTGTTGTCTTCGGATTTTCCTTTTCTGCGACGAGGGATTCCCTATTATCATTTGCTGGAGCAATTACGTGCTGGTCGTGTTGCGGCGCCGTGTGGTGTGTGCGGCCAGCGCGCCTCGCCGGGGCCGCCAACAGGCCCGTGACGCTGCTAAATGTTTTCTCAGTGGTGGAGGAGGAGGAGAGGGGCGCGGGGTTGGGCGGGGCGAGGCGAGTGACACTTGCGCGCGAAATTGTATGAAATGACTGCTGCAGGTCCGTATGCGGGCGCATTGTGCACTCATCAGGGCTAAGTGGAGGGGGTGGGGGTGGGTAAGGGGGAGCGGCCAAGCCTCATGATTCAAACGCCACTGCAATTGCAATATGTATGTGTGTGTGGTGTGTGCGGGCGTCCCCATGGCTCATGGCTAAGGTGGCGAGGAGGGGGGGGGCGGTGTGACTGACCAATGAAGACTGCCGTCGAGCTGCGTGTGTTGGGGGGGAGGGGGGGGGGGGGGGGGGAGGGGGGGGGCGGTGTGACTGACCAATGAAGACTGCCGTCGAGCTGCGTGTGTTGAGTTGACGTGTCACTGACCTACGCCCGGGGGAAGGGGGGGAGTCTCCAGCTCACCGCCAGCGGGACAGGGCGCGGCTCCGCTACTCTTTTAGTTCGTTATCGCTGCAGTGAATCGTCCGGTAAGCACCTGGACACTTTTCTTGTTGGTTGGTTTTTCGAAAGAACTGTGCTGTGTCGACTGTAATTGTTATTGTCTCGACTCTGAGGACGACTTTGATTTGACCAACGACCCACCCTTTTCCGAAGGCCTCGGAATAACACACTGGTCAGCGTATTGGCCCTCGTGTCACGCTCGGCTGATTCCGCGAGTGCCCGCTCCTTGCGAATGGAAATGGCGCAACGCCGCGCCGCCCGTCACCCGCCTACTTACCGCCCTCCGCACCGCCCGCCTCAAACGTCAAACAGTTCTGCTCAAAATTGAGGGCGACTGTTGGTCCAGCGCTCCCTCCGCCGCCCCTCCGCCCCACCCGCGCCCGCTCACATATGATCCTGTCTACACTCGGACCGTCTCCATTACAGCGAGGGACTTTAAAAAGGGAGGGAAAGAGAGATGTACACATAAAAAACGCGAGGATACGGGGGGATGATGCCTTTTTATTTTGTTTTCAAAAGTATAGGACGGGCGACTTATGTCAGAATTAGATTAGCTGACCCGACTCGCCTCCGCGGGCCGCGCGCCACGCGAGGGGGTGTGTGGGGGTGGGTAGAAGGGCGCTGACAACATCGCGAGCCATCCTTCTCCGCCCGGACAGCCCGGCGGCGGCCGCCACCGCCACCGCCCTGCTTTCCGGGAATTGGAAGAGAGAAGGAAAGAAAAAATAAAAAGAATATATAATAAAACCGACGGGGAGAACCATAAAGCGGAGGCAACAGAGGTTTATTCGCGTTGCGGTTCTGCGGCTGCACATTCACATTCACATTCACGGTTGGCGCGGCGGCGCGGGTAAACAGAGCGGCCGGCGCGCGGTTACGAGCCGCGCGCACGCACGCGGGACGGGGAGGGACATTTCATTTTTCAAAATCTGTTCAAAAATGCATGTCCTCCGCGGGTCTGGCCTGGCCGGGTCGGGCCGGGTCGAGCCGAAGGAGTAGAGACGGATAATGTTGCGGCTGATTGCTGCGCTCATCCGTCCGCGCCCGCCTCTTTCAACCCCTCATTTTTAGGGGGATTGCCGCACTGTGCTGCTGGCGTCCGAATCGACTGAACTGTCGCCGTCGTCGTTTTGGGTTTTCCACGTGCACGCCCGCTGATGATGGGATGGACGAAAAGTAAAGAGGAAAATTTTCCTCGTTTTCGTTTTTTATTTTATTTTTTTGTTTTCTGTTTCACTTTGTTTTTTGAGTTGTGCGTAACTTGATCTGCAGCCCATTATTGGCAACCGGATTTACAAACGCGCGCGATTTTTTTTTTCGTTTTGTGCTGGTGCGGCGCTCGTGCGCTGATAAGTCCGAGTAGTCGGGCGAGGCGAGAGGTGAGTCAAAGAGTTCTATTTGTGTCACGCGCCGGGCATTGACACGAGGCGGTGAGCCACTCCTTGCAAAACGCTCGAAAACTATCATAAAAATTGGCCTGGTATTTTGTTTTCAACTGGTGGGAAAATTTCAATTTATTTTTCAGTGGAGGCCAGGCTTCGGTGCACTCACTCGCGAGGCGCCCGTTGGTTGTTGCCAAACTGAAAGTCAAATCATAGGAAGGTCAAACATGATGACGTTTCCAATTGTTTCATATTTTTCCTTTTGAGAAATCTTTTCTTATTTCGATGAGGGCCTCTGGTCGTGTTGGCTGTTAGTGTCGTCGGGTGTACTATGAGTGTGCTTTGCGTAATGCGCCGATCTGCCGGGCTGCCTCCGCGTTCGCTTGCTCGCCGCGACTCGTAGTATATAGTACTCGACCCGGGCCCGCCCGGACTCGGACGCGGCCGCCGGCCTCCTGTGTGTGTGTACCGCGCCCACGTGGATCCCGGTCGCCGCCGCCCACGGCCGCCGTGCGGAGCCAACAACCTCGGCCCGCTCACTAACCCACATCGCAGTGATACCGGCCGGGAGCGTGGAAGACGAGAGCAGCGTCTCGCGCCGGCCGGTCCGGGACACGGGGTTATGCATTGTTCGGCGCGCCTCTGTCGATTCTTATTTAATCCATACTTTTCCCAAGCCCCCTCTCTTCTTTCCCTCGCTGTCCTCCCTCTCTCTCTTTCTCTCGTTCTCCCCTTCCCTCTTCCTCGCCCCGGCTGACGCCCCCGCTGTCCCGTCGCCGGATCCCTGTTTTCGCGCGGAGAAACTGCGAGACCCCTCTCAGTCGGCGGCGACTTCGCACGCGCCCAGGACCTGTCCAGGACCCACAGGTGGCCAGGACCCGCAGAGGTGAGCGCAACAGCCGGTGGTCTAGTCGCAGTCGAGGTGGATACCTCAGCGAGTGGTCCCCCACTTCCAAAATAAGTGTACAACGAGTTGGCGAGTTGTCGCGAGTAAGAAGCGAGTTGGGCCTAATTTTTTCTGAGTTTTTTTGCAATTTTAGCGAATTTTCGCGATTTTTTGCGAGTTTGACGCGAGTTCGACGCGAGTTGGTCGTAGGGCAAGTGTACAACTAGTTGGCTAGTAGGGGACCCCTCGTAACTCAGTGAGGTGACTGCACCTCCTCTTAGATATTTCAACCCATGTGTGTGTAGCGTACATTTTCTTACTCAATTTCATGCGGTAATTTCAAGTGAGTCTTGTTTGGTCCAAATATATTGTGCGACAATTTCCTGTCAATTAATCAATAACCGTGCATCATGCAACTTGCAACTTTTTTGTTCGCATCATTCCGTTTGCTGATATATTTGACTCACATCGAGAGTGCCAAGAGGCCTCTGTGCCTCCTGAGAGGAATTACAAACTGTGAACAGTACAGTGAATCTTTGGTAGCAGGACCTCGTCGACACGACAGGTTTAGTGAGTACCAGCTCCAGCAGGTTAGCAATACTAGCTAACCTTGTTTTTATTTTGCCCTGGCTCTCCCATGGTTCTCTTGTCCCCCCTACCCCCTTTACCTCCTCACTCTATTCGCGGCGCGGTCGCCTCACTTTCACTCGCGCCC